TCCAACCCCCCCAAAGGGTTTCATGAATGAATGGAGGGGGGGCGGAGGAGGAGGAGGAGGAAGAGAGGGGGGAACCTGCAGAAAGGAAAAGGGGGGTCTGTCTCTGTGGGGGGGGGTTATAAGGAAGAGGTCACCCCCCCTCCGATTTTCTTCTCAGGGGGAGAGACTAACTCTCTAGGAGGAGGTCCGAGGAACTTGGGAGCTCTTTGGATCCTTTGCTTTTTCTCCTTTAAACACAAGGACCCGCCCTTTGCAACCCAGAGCAGAAGATCTTTTTATAAGGAGGCCTTTTGGTATAAAAAGCTCGGGTTGTGGGTTTTGGTTTTTTTTTAATCGCAAAAGGATGAGATTCTGCAGGTTTGGCTAGTGTGCCTATGTTGTGCGTCTTCCTTCCTTCCTTCCTTCCTTCCTTTCCCACTCACTAAATTATCCAAGCAGCTGTTGAAAATAAGAACAGGAGGACGTCTATGCCTGGAAGTTGATATTTTGTAATTTAAAGCAGGATCACAATGTCTCTCACAATAGTGGGGCAAGGCAGGGATACTTGCTGTCCTTATTTGGGCACATTAATGAGAATTAATGAATTATCTGGGAAAAGACCCTAATGTTGGGAAAAGTTGAAGGCCACAGGAAAAGAGGAAGGTCACACAGGAGATGGATTGACTCCTTAAAAGGGAGTCAAGCAGAGGCTCGAGTCTGCCAGAGCTGAGCGGGGCTGTTGAGGACAGAGAGAGCATTTTTGGAGGTCACCCGTCCAGAGGGTCCCCATAAGTCAGAGGTGACGTGCCCCATAACAAAGACCCTGTGAGGAAAGGTCAGGAGGAAAAGGCAGCTATCAACCGTCACAAAACATCTGGATGAATCAAAAGGGCTTAAAACCCTTTCCCAGACCTGAGAGGGCTGCGAATAAAGAGAGGAGAGCTTTGGGAGGCCATACGATCATCGGGGGTCCCGAAGTGAACAGCAACCTAACAGCCATTAACAACCACTGTAAAAAATACAACAATAACAATAAGGGAGTGTGAGTTACTTTTGTCCATTTCACACCCCTCCCGGCCGTTGCCCCTTGCTTTGGGGAGAAGGGCCAAAAAATAAAGGGGAGAATCAAATCATTTCAATACACCCAGAAAGCCGGAATGGCTGCACAGCTGAGTGCTTTGGGTCTGTGGCTGAGGAGACAGAGGTTGCGAGTTCAATTCCCCCATTGTGCCTCCTCGACAGGGGGGGCGGGCTGCATGATCCAGAGGGTCGCTTCCAGCCCTGCCGTTTTAAGATGATTATACAAGCTGAGCTCACAATCCCGGGCGTGTGGGATGAGGGGAGTCAGACCCACAAACACACCCTCAAATAATAAACATGTGGCTGGAATATTACTCTGGATGTACAACCATGTCAAATGGGGGTTTGAGAAGAGAATTTGAACCCAGGTCTCTGGAGTCTGTGGGACAACAATCAGAAAGTGGAGTGGGTAGAGACTTCCCTGTCCTGCATCCTCTCCCCCCTTGAATGCGGCTTTTCTTCCGTCTCCCACCTGGCAAAAAGAGGGAACACTGGTGAGTGGCCACCTGGTTGGGGGGAGGTCCTGAATTGGAGAGGATTTGGAAGGGGGAGGTTTATGGGTGGCCATGAAGGAGCAAGGGCCCCCCACATCAGGGTCAGCCCCTCTCCTTCCCCCCCACCGCACAGGAGAAGCCCTCCCTGCCTCCAACTCCCTCCTCTCTCCTTGCGCCTGAGGGAGGGCAAGGCACATTTTGGCCCCTGGCTGTGCTCAAGGGGGAGCCTTCAGAGACGTCCTCTCAAATTGGGGTGTGTGGGGGGTCAGGGGGGTTACAAAGGGCCTCCCTTTCATCGGATAAAATTCTGCCATGTGTCACCGAAGCTGCTGTTGGCCTTCTCAACACCCAGCGTGGTTTTGGCAACTTCGGTGGCCCTGATCCGTCTCCTCCTTCTGGCTTCTCCCCTCTCATGCCAATTAGGGCCAGACCCCAGCCCTTACATTGCCCTCTGAAGGGGGGGTATCCCTAAAAGGGGGAGTGGTTTTGGACCCCTGCCGCTTCCATGCCTTCTGCTCTTGGGAGGTCAAGGGGCACCGCCCCCCATGGGGGGCCCTCAGTGGGATGGGCCCCCATGAAGGTTGGCCTGGGGTTGGGGAGCAGCGAGGGTGGTGGCTTTAGATTTGAATCCAGGCCCTGCTGGCCTCTGGTCCCAGGGGGGCCGGTGTGGCACTCCCTCCCTCATCCTCCTCCATATTCCATTGACGCAAGACGTTGCAGGAAGGGCATGCTGAAACAAGTGGCGGTCTTGGAGCAGAGGGCAAGTAGCAGGAACCATCATCATCCTCATCATCCTCACCCTGCAGGCCTCGCCGTCCCGGTCCCTGACAAAACGCCTCCAGGAGTCTGGCCCCGCAAAGCTTGGCTGGGCTCAATCCACGGAGCGTCTGAGACACACACACACCCGGTTCCTGCAGCCCCTCCTGTCTCTCCCCCCAAGACATTTCAAAGCAGTCCCCCCCCCAGCCACAATGGCGCCAGTTGACTTTGAGAAGCTCACCTGGAAACGGTCACTCTCCCCCCCTCAAAGGGATAGGAAGCCTGGTCAAGGACATAGAATTCCTATAGACTATAGCAACCCCCCCTCCCCAACCCTCCGAGGGACATTGGTGCTGGACCAAGTACCCAGGCAGACACAACTGGGAGAGGGGGACACCACCCTCCTCTCCCACCCAGGTCAGCACCCCCATCCAGAATTACATCATGGATGAGGGCCGTCTTATTTTGCATTCATCAGCAGCACTGTGTGGCTGGAGATTTTGCTGATATGGTCACCTGATATCATCTAGTCGGGGGTAGGACTAGAAGAGCCACTGTAATGTGCTCTATGTGGGGCTGCCTTTGAGGCTGTTGCAGAAACTCCAGGTGGTGCAGAATGCAGCGGCCAGATTACTTAGTGGAGTGAAAAAATACCAACACATTTCGCCCACTCTGGCCACACTGCATTGGCTGCCCATTCGGTTCCGCATCGACTTCAAAGTGATGATGCTTACGTACAAAGCCCTAAATGGTTTAGGGCCTGGATACCTGGCGGAACGCCTACTCCCACCTAGATCTACGGTGTCTCTCGTGCGAGTCAGGAGATGAGGCTGACGAGCCTAACGCCGAGGGAGGCCCAGAAGGAAAAGACAAGAAATTGGGCCTTCTCGGCGGTGGCTCCTCGCCTCTGGAACAACCTACCTCCAGAGATTCGCGTGGCTCCCTCGCTGGGTATCTTTAAAAATCAATTTAAAACATGGATGTTCCGGCAGGCCTTCCCTCCAGCCAATCCCTGATGCTTTTTCCTTCCTTTTCCCATTGTCTGTTCCCATCTTGTGAAATGTGTTTTATTATGTAGAAATTGTTTTATATATATAATTGTGTGTTTTTTATTGTAAGCCGCCTAGAGTGGTCTTAACCGACCAGATAGGCGGGATATAAATAAAATAAATAAATAAAATAAATAAATAAGAGCCCCACCACC